GGAGTTGGGGGGGGGGGTGGGGCGGAGAGGGGAAAAAAAAAGATTTACACAGGAAGACACTGCATTACATCCATCTGTCAAATCTATTACTAGAATTAATCATGGTGCAACAGGATTACACTCAAAGAAGAAGAACAGATGTAAATCCTAAAGTTCCCAACGTTTGTTTCATTTTGAGTTGTCTTACCTGCAGTTGATTCTTGGCACTTGTCAAAAGACCACCGCACCTCCACAGCACGACCTCTTTGTTTTATCTGCTGTTCGACTTCATAAATCTTTGCCCGAACCTGTAAAAAAAATAGTTGCTAATTAGCTAGTAGTGGAAAGTCTCAATTTTCATTTCAAGCTTGTGACAGCTTTCTCAGCAGGAGCAAGGTACCCTATAGTGTTCCACAACACTCCCTACATTTGGGAACAACAAACTGAAGTACGTTCTGTTCAAATGTTTTTGTCTGTTACGAATCATCTTGTACAATAAAACATCTTTTCCTTACATTCAAGCCAGCAAAAGTTAACTTTCAGCGTGTCTGAAAAGTCGCATCTCACAATACAGTACACCAAGCTTCCTCTTATTTGCCATTTTACATCTTAAAGTAATTTCAGTTTAATAACAGAAAACATCTGAACATAAGCAAAATTCCTGATATTTTCACAAAATCAGTACCTGAATGAAGTACAAAGTAAGGTCATCAAAAACTAGCACAACACTAGTCTTGAAACTAGACCTACAGAAATATCTAAACTTGGCTGTAGTCCTAATGATCACAAATCATTATTTAGGATATAAAACAGATCTTAATAATCTGACAATGAAAAAAGCTTACCTGCTGATTAAATGCTGAATTTCCACCTGGCATAGGTAAACTAGATGGAGCAACTTGAAGTAAATCCAGAGGTGAGCCTGGATTAACGTTCTTATTTTCATTTGTGGAATAATTCCACACCAAGGCACTTGGGCAACAAAGAGTTACAGTCTGCAAGCAATAGTACAAAACAGATGTAATTTCTTTTTCTAAACATGTGTGATAGACAATACCAACAATAAGAGTCCATGAGACTAGAATCACTTTTGGTCTAACTACTACAGTGAAAGAAACAAAAAGACAGGCCTATGCACAATTACTTTAAAACATCCATTTTAGGAAATTCAACTACTATATTATTTTCCTTCTCTATTATTAAAAAAATTATTTAAGTATATATGTGTTCAATTCCCATTTGTATTGCGTTCGTAACGCTGTCAAAGAACATCACCAAAGGTTAATTTCAGTCAGATCCTTTCTGTGAAATGTGAATGGGCTTTAGAAAAAAGAAGTCATTTTGGTGTTCAGCTTACAGAAAGAAGCTACATGTGAAAAATTAAAATTTAAGAAATTAATTAAAATCAACTCTTCTGTCAAGATTTTAAAGCACAAAAGAGTCGTTGAAATGTACCATGAACTTAAGATTTACTTCAAAAGAAAGATTTTGCATTGACAGGCTTCAAAACAGTCATTTTACAACAGCTTGTCAGCAGGTACCGATTACCCTGTAGCATTTGGTATTGTACAGAGCAAAAGCAGAATGCTTTGGTGTTTGGGGGTCAGACCTTAAATATCATCTAAAATGATGGAAGTTGATTCATCTTATAGATGTTTATTTTTGAGACTGCTGCATCACTTCTTGGGAAGCTGCCCCAGTCCAGATCTGGATTACAAAGCAGCACCTTAGCAAAAACATTGCCTAGAGACATGCTCCTCTGAAAAGATAGAGAGCTTGTCTGAACCCAGGCTGTCCTCTGGACCTGCTTGGTAGCACAAGAAAAAGGGGTAGAAAAACAAGCAGAGAAAACGCACACACATACACAAACCCAAATAGTACAGGAAGAGCAGAAAGATTACCAGCTGTGTTGCTAGTAGAGAAAAGCTGCAAAGCTGCCAGAGTACACAAGCATACCCCAGCAGCCCAGGACGGAGACAAACGCTGATGTTCCCAGGACAGATCCATGTTCAAGAGGAAAAAAGTCACAGCATGCTGAGAGCCAGATGGGATCTAACTTCCTGACACATGCACCCTCAGCAGAAAGAGGGATGTGGATACTCTCCTACTTTCTTTCCTCAGATAGCATCAACTGAGCCTTCCCCACGTATAACCCAGCCTGCCTCCACGCTCTGGACTTCCCACACTGCGACGACTGTGGGAAAGCAGCAGCCCTCAGAGAGGGCACTGCATATCACAAGAAAGTGCTCTTTTACTGTGGGAGTGGGCCAGCACTGGAACAGGCTGCCCAGAGAGGTGGTGGACATGTTAAAGGTCCAGCTGGACATGGTCCTGGGGAACCTGCTCTAGTTGACCCTGCCTGAGTGGGGCGGGGGGATAGACGACATCATCTGAAGAGGTCCCGGCCAACCTCACCCATTCTGTGATTTTGTGATCCCGCCAGAATCAGCATACTCCTAGTACCATCACCAGGACATCTCTGTGCAACCCCCAGAGACAGACAACGGAACAGACAACAGCAGGGGGCTTTGAGGAAGTTTCACCAGGTCAGCACTCAGGAAGGCAAACAACCGCAGCTCATCATACGAGTCCTTTTTTAGAAAATAATTACTCTCTTGACAATTCTGCTATTGCCGAGCAACAAGCACAAGTGAACAGTCTCTTCTGTTCCACAGTTTTTAAAACTGTTGATAAGGCAACATAAACTGCTCATAATTCTGACAAAAACAAAATGCAGCCTGCAGTGGCACCAAGCATCAGTGACAAGCTGGAAGCAGCAAGGAAATCCTCAAAGGTTAGAGCTTGCAGGAGTCAGTATGGTGCTGTCTTCTGTCCAGCCGCACTCAGCAGACAGTGGGGGTCTGGCAGAACTGCGCAGGTTCACTGGTGATGAGAACGTGACGAGATTTGCAGAGCATTACTGCAACCAGAACCACTCCATCACAGAGGGAAGGCTTGGGCAACGCTGGCAGCAGAGTCACTCCTTCCCAAAGCAGAGGTGCAGACAGACACATGAGCAGCACAAGCTTCTCCGGGTGGTTCCACCATCGTGCCTCAGCCGGTGTGGAGAATCCACCCTCCCACTCCCCCCAGACCCACTCAGTCCTCACCCTTTAATGGATGCAGGTACATTTCAAACAACGACTAGCACACCTTGTCACACTCAAAAAACACTCTGTTTTCCAATAAACTGGATGGTTATAGCCTTGAAAACAAAGAGCAACAGAACATTGGCCTACCTGCAGCATACAACTAAGTCCATACACCAGTGGACGGTGTTGAGGGCAGGAGAGGAAATCTGAGCAAGCCAGCTGTACGGGGCTCACCACGGGACCAGGGGCAGTCGGACTTGGGGCTGCCAGAGGAGGGTTACTCGGTCCAATAATCATATGAGGAGAGTGTGCAGCTACAAGGTTAGGACCATCACTTAGCAATAAAGATAGGCGTCTGGCACAAAAATAAGCAAGGCGACGGGATAGGTAAGCTGACTGAACAAATTCTTCCGAATACTGAAATTTAAAAAAAATGCATAGTTTACTACACAGTCTACTCCATGTATTAATTTTCTTTAACAATCTAACATTAGACATGCATAAACTAGAAGGGATCACCTCAAATATTTAAGAGTCCAGAAGTTAAAAAAGAAAAGAGCAGCTCAAACACAAATCTATACTTCCGTCTCTTAAAGATTTCATCTGCCCTCCAGGACCAGTTACAATAAGAGAATCCTTCTACCAATTAAAGTTAAGGATTATAAAGCATGAACATTTTAAAGGTGTTTATAAATTTCAAACATGCACCGTGCAGTACATTCCCCTAAGTGTCTTAAGTAAAAATGTTTATATAGATTTTACCACCGCAAATATTAAAATCATTTAACATGTATGAATCACACTTATATTGATTTCGGCTTTAAAACATGCATGTACCTGCAACATTAGCGGCAACAACAGCTTAAGAAGATCATCATCAGTGGGTCTGATTTTTTCCAAAACATCCAGTATCCATGTCAAATACTCATGCCTCTCGAGCATTCCTTCCTTAAAGGATTTAAAATAACAAATCACATATTAACTGGGAGCAGTAAACAAGAAGGTGTGTAATTGCAAGTTTTATCTCATTTCTGGTTTAGCTCTCATTACTCATGTCAGCACAGAGCTACCAAGACGCTCAACCACCACTAGACACGCAGGAACCAGCCACCATCATGGCAGCCCTATGGATAGGGAAGCAATTGCGTACAGCGCCTGATCTCTGTGGTTAGGATTCAGCAGGCTGCCTAATTTACTGCTGACAGACAGACTCCCTCCCAGCAACTCTTCTGCTATTTCTATCCTCGGGTAGAAATAACCAGAGAGTTATTCTGTGCTAGAACCATGTGGAACCGAACAGCCAGGCCACCACTCGAACACCCAAGGCTTCATGTGCCACAGCAGCCTCAGCCTGATCCACAATCACTAAAAACACTCTTAAAAGATGGGATAATATAGAAGAGATGGAATAATTGAGTACATTGCTGCAATCACAATCAAGCACACTAAGCAAATCAAAGCTTTTTCAGCTAGCAAATCTTTAAAATGAATTAGCATTTACAATTTATGCAAGTCTTAACGACAAAAGCTTCCAGTAAGTTCTAAAATTGTACCTTCCAAGAATGGTAACCTCAAAAAAAAAAAATCCATGCACTACTTAAAGTATTACCTGAAACATATAAAATGACAATTTTTCATTATAGTCCCACTGCTTCAGGGCTTGTTCCATCTCTTGAGGCATCCCTACAGAGCTGTTGCCTTGACTGGAAGTCACATGATAAAACTCCGCAACCTTTGCCAGCTGCTCTCGAAGGTATCTGGTTATAATTTGAGTCCATTCTACAAAATAAGTTTACAATTAGAATACTTCAGGTGACAAAAGGTTTCTTTCACATTGAGAATTGAAACAAACTTATACTGCCTTTGTCGTCAAAAATATTCCTCCAAAACATTAACCCACAGTTGCATAATGCAGCACCTATTGTGAATTAACGGGCTTCTTACGTGCCTCTCCTGTGCATTGGTCTCAAAGCACACGTACTGTCAAGTATGCAAGTAGTCTGCTAGCTTAGCATGATGTAAAAAGCACTGACACAAGGTATGTCTTTAGGGAACCACCTGTCTCTTTCATCAGATTTCAGCATTCAGCCACAAAACAGCCTTGAAATAGATAAAATAAATATACTTCATTACTTCCTTCCATCTGCACCTTTACTCTCCTCTTCCTTCCCCCCTCCAAATATAGCAACATAAAACTCAACGGGACTTTGCACAAGCAGTGGTATATGAAACTGTTCTTTCTATAATCACTCTGAAACAGACAACTCCTCCAGATTTTTAGTCTGATGAGAATGCAAAAGCTCGGGAGCAGTTTCTTACGTCAGAGTGACCAGCACAGTGCAGAGATCTGCCAGTAAGACTGGCTATCCTTCCTTTGTCCTAGGTAAGTCAGTAGGTGCTGTTTAGCAAATACACAAACCTACTAAAAATTATCAGTTTTTCTCTCTGCTTCAGCAGTGATTCTGTATTTAGTATAACTTGGAGAAATTAGTGAACAAGAGTAAACTTGCTTGGTCATATACATAAAGCTTTGGGAAAAGAGGAATTGTAAGGAAGGCATTCTCTTAACAGTAACTGGAACAACCAAGGATATTTGTTAGTATCTCAGAGACAAACATCTGACAGAGCTGTATTTAATCAGCGTGCAGCATATTTTAGAAGAGCACACTCTTTTATGAATACATAATGCAGTTGCTTTGACAACCTAAGCCTGTTTACTGTCAAGAGTTACAGGAACTACCATTCTCACACACAACTATTTTTGCTGTTTACTACCCACCTCAGACTTCAGCTAGCGCGTTCATTCTTTTTTCCCTTTGCATTTGTAATTGGCAACTCTGTCAACATACACAGACTATATGTTGAATGCTTTTCTATCCAAATCCACTGAAATTTCTGTATGAAGCTAGCGGGTTTTAGTGTTTTCATAGAGCAGTTTAACTACATTCACTTCAAACATTCGCTCACTTTTGGAAAAACAATTCCAAATCCACTACTTCAAACTTATTTCATGTGACAGTATGAAAGAATAATTTTCCCAAAGCAATTACCAGTATCTCTGTGCCACTGAGTTAGAAACAATGCAACTGCCTTTCTGTTACCTGAGGCACAGATATAAAACATTTTGGGAACTGTCAAAGGCTGCTCAGTACACGCAGCAAACTACTTCCCAAAAAGCTCTCAACCACCTTTGCAAAACAGGGAATTTGGACAGAGGACGTAACCTTCAGTAACCTACCTCAGAATACTCGCTGATAAAAGTCACCGGCACCTCTGCCCACAGACACTCCTACTGACTTCATTCATCCTTGCTGTGAAGCGGATGCCACCATGATGCCAGCCCAAAGCAGAGCCAAACCAGGAGTACCTCTCTACCCCACCAGGGCACACTACCACCTTGTACCTTCCCAGTAAAAATAAATTCCTTTTATTTCAAAGAGCTACTACTCCCAGCCAGAGCAAACTAGGTCTAGATCAATTTATCACACCAGAGTGGACAACCTTAGCTTTCCTCACCTCCTCCTTACTCCCCTTTCTCCCTGACTCCCAGACAACCAAGAAAGAGGGTGTTTGTTTTAACTACATGCTAACGAGTACGTGTCCCAGGAAAAGGAACAGCCCCCAGCATCACCATTTCAGTCCCCCTAGGAAAGCCACAGATGCTCTCTTATCACTAGCAGAGCTACTCATGACACATTAGGAAAGCAATCAGCCTGCTCTCGCTGCCTGCTCCGAGCCTCCTGCTAGGGTCTACCCCAAAAAATGCTTACATCATTCAAGAGAAAAGGGAAGACAACCTGAGAGGTTGGAGAGAGGGGCTGTTTCAGCATCCCTTGGCCCAAAGGACAGAAGGGGAACGTGAGAGAAGGAAAGAGCGAGTCACCCAGCCCCGCTTGGCAGTGCCAAAACAGCTCAAAGGAGCCTGAACCCATCCCGTGTCAGAAAAGGAGTGGGGAACTGTGCTAATCTCCCACCAAAACAGCACTGACCTTACTACAGAGAAGCTAACCCCAGCACAGCAGCCTCCCAGAGTTTATACAACAACAGAGGCAACAACCTGACTCTTTTCCTTCTTGCCAGTCACACGCGCTGCCTCCCCCTTGCTCTCTGTCTCTAAAAATCAGACTGATTTTTAAAAATATTTTTAAAACTATCACCAAAGAACAAACATAGGATGTTTGCTAGAAAACAGAAAATATACTTTGGGGGCTAACTAACTCGAAGTGAAAACTAGTGTTATGAGCCTACAAATAATAATTAAAGAAAATAAAACCACAAAGCAAAGTCTGAAAGAAACAACAGAATGAGTTGGCAGGAAGAAGTAGACATTTCTTACAGCAGTACAGAGATGCTGCTAAACAGCAATGAAATTGTCTGTTCTGAGCACAGTTATTTTGAGGACAAAGAAGGAAAATGTTCATTCTAGACAGTAGAAGAGCTGTAGGTAGCGTATGTAAATTGAGAGAGTAAAACTACAACTTTGATAATAGTTAAAGTACCTTTGAACACCTTAAAGGTGTTCACTGCTTGGCCCACTGGCTTGGTGCCAGATAGTGTCATTTAAGGTTAGTACTTAAATTAAATGCATTGCCACCTATGTTCTAATAAATAAGCTTTGAAATTCACATTTCATTCCAGGCTTTCTAAATTAGCAGTTCTGTTCATTCCCTGGTAACATTTATCTTAGCACAGCCTTTGCCACTCCTTCCAACCCCGCAGAGACCAATGTCGGCGGTGAAGATGCAGCACAGTCAACTCCCCAGATGCTGCGCCTGGAGATCTACGGAGGAATCAGCTGGGAGGAGAAGCAGCCAACAGGGCAGTATTTATGCTGCATGGCTCTTTGTACTCTTTGACACACATTTCTAAGCGAAATTGATTTAAAAGAATTTTTATTCCCCTTCCTGCTACAAAGATTCCTCTCTGGACACCTAGTAACACCAAAGTCACAAACAAGAGGAGCAGGCCCCTTCAGCTATTATTATGCACTTAGACATTAGAGATGTTTGTTTACCAATATTTGGGTCAGTGGCCTGGCGTTTCTTGATTTTAGCTTCAGAAATAGCAGCGTAGTAGGCACATGTCATTTTGATCAGCCATGCCGCTCGCAGCAGTGGCACAGAATATTTTGCTAAGTAAGCAAAAACATCTTCTTTTTTACTGAGAATAGGAACCTGAAATGAAACAGGAAGCAAGTTATAGCACACAGTCCAAACAGCAGCTGGCACCTACGGGTTAGCCCGGGCCTCTTCTGCTCAACCCTGCACTACCTGGAGAATGGCAGACCTCTTCACCAACCTAGGAACCCACTACACCAACACATATTGTCTAGACACATAGAAACAGAGACTCGACAAAAGAGAGATACTGCCCCACACTTCCCCCAGGTTTCACTGGGAGCATCCTTCCCCGACTCAGAGATGCCTGCAGGGCCACTAGCAAAGCTCTCGACACAGCCAAAGGCATCTAAAGTGCAGAAAGAGTCCTGCAAGCTGATCCTCAGAACCTCTGGAAAATGGAAATAGATCAACTGGGTAAGGGCTCAATTACACAGATGCTGCCATTTTCATGGGTGCCCCTGGTTCAGAGGAGTCCATAATAACAAGGGCAACACAGCCTGGCCAGCTAATACTGCCTGCACTGGCCACGCACGCAACGGGACTGGTCCCACAAGACTTCCAGGTGAAAAGTCACTCTATTCTGTCACAGCAATCCTTACATCTTTCTGTATAAAGGTATTATAATTTTAAAATGCATTTTTAAAGCAACATATATGAGAACAAGACATTTCACATCCAGTGGAGACAGAAGGGAGCGGAGGCACAAATGCTACACTTACTATGCCCTACCAAAAAATCGTCATTACTCTTCAAGCATACTCGACCTTTCTAACAGAGTACCTGGAGAACAGAGGTGCATCAATGCTTAAGAGAGCAGCAAACAAAGCACTAACCCTCTTCTGTAATGCTCTCCAGTGGTCAGTCAGGGACTCTGCAGAATCAGTTTTGCAGTGTTCTTAACATGCTTATTTACTGTTATCAGCAGGTTTATATATCTGGTTATTTAAACCAAAACTTAAATAATTAAAGAAATCTCTTTAGCACTTCTATTCACAAAGTTATCCTCTCAGAAAGTTAGGGGGAAACTTAAGCTGGTGGCATGCTTGCCACAGCAAAGCTCTTGTTTTTCTGGTGCCAAAGCAGCACACATTCTTCACCAACTGCATGGCAACAGACCAAAAACTGGTGAAACTTGTACCTTCTGTTATTTTGGTCCATTTATGCTCAATATTCTTGGAATAAGAGTTCCTTACTGCAGTTTAATTTATACTCAGAATAACTCCCAGATACTGTAAGATTAGCTGCTTGTACACAGAGCTTCAGGAAAGAAAGGCATGAATAACAGCACCTTTGTTACTGTGTTCTAGACACCACCTTGGATGAGTTTTAATGACCACTTCAAATTTATCTTGTACTGCTGTTCTTAACAGCATGCAGTATCCAAAAAGATAGCTCAAATTTGCGTTTTCCAGTTATACAGACTGCTACAAAGCAGCAAGAATTCTTCTCCTTATTTGGAAACTTAAACAAGAATGCAACTAATAAGACTTTAGGCAAAGATTCTTAATACAAATACACATTTAAATGTGAAGAGCATGCAAAGGGGTTGGAGTTAGCAAGCAGGTTCTTTTAAGAATGCATCAGCTTCCTAGACGATTATTTCCCTGCCAGACATGAGAATTTCTGTAAACTGTTCCTTTGCTTGAGAAAGAGACCGTTGAAGTGAAGCGTACAGGCAAAGAACCTGGATGCCAGTAAGGTAAACGTGCCTGAGCTAAAACATAGTTATTCAAACGAACTTTTTACCAGCTAGATCAGAAGTTCCCCTTTGCCCAGGTACCCTCCTTGCAGAGAGGGAACATGCTCAGAGCAGCAGCTGCCTCCAGCACCACTCCACACCCAGCACGTTCAGAAATGTTGCCCTATTCTTATAGCCCGATTCAGTACAATCCAATATGCAAGAAACAGAGGAAGGAGTATTTTGATACCTTTTTTGCTAAAAGAGTCAGTGGTTTACTTCCTGCTAAATCTGTGAACCAGTTGTGAATTGCACTCTGAGACCGAGCAGTAACCAGCCAGTAGTTGTCTTTGGCATTTACTTGTGGTTTCTTCTTTCCTGTGTCCTGGAAAGTGTTAAGTTTTAGCTTTTCCGCTAATATGCTGCTAAAGTAAGCGCCAATCTGGTGGGGAAAAAAAGCAAAACATATATGATAACCCAGTAAGCAAGCATCTATCGTACATTAATGCACAAAGGATTTCCATCTGAATACATGTAGTCATCACTCTAGTCCAGGCTATCAATCTAATAAGATTACGCTGTAACTCCCTGCAGCTAGGAGATGGGGATTCATAATATTAAGCACCGTTGCAACACTTCTGCATTATCATTATAAAAGCTGCGGGCCAGCAAAACCAAGCCAAAGATGACCAGGCCTCAGAGATACCAAAGATGCAGCTGCCATTTATGACAGGTCACTGTGAATGTCCAGAGCCACATCCCTCCAACAGATGAGTCTCTCGGATGTAGGCCCCGATTCAGTGTATTCTAAGAGTGTCTCGGAACATTCCTCCCCTTCTACATTTTACTATGCCATAAAGCGTGTAAATACACGCTTTACACTTCTATTTAGAACAAATTGCACTGTCACAAGAACCGCATTCATTGTCTTTCCATCATCAGTTACAGCAGGCAAAACTTCAAAGATTCGGATAAGCTAGGAAGTGTTCTGACTTTTATTCAAAACACCTCCGCTACCACTCAATACCTCCAGAATGAAAAGCTTTGTAAGATTTGCTTCCCCAGTACTTTCAATGCCAAAACAGCAGAAAAAAGCCCAATAGAGGTTTTACTTCCCATGTAAGCTTATTTACTTTTCAAAATTACTATAATAGAAATTAATTTTTAGGCCTGTCAGTAAGAATAAAATGTTTGATTTTCTAATGAATATATTCATAGTTGGGTAATTTTAAAATCTATGAAAAGCTTTTAGGAGATACTGAACTTATTTTGGTAATTCTACACTTAAATCTTCCAAATAACTATAAGCACTTCCTTGTGAATTTCTGTTTTACTTTTCAAACAGTTATGTCCAATAGTCAAAACATGAATAATTAAAATATAAGACAGAAAGTGCCTGCAGGTAGCAATTCTAGAAAACAAAATGAGAAGAATGTAACAGGAAAACCTTTAACATTTCAACAATAGCAACCCTGTCATTTCCTTGTATCTCTTCTCCTGCTACAATAAAAGAGTGTCACTGTATAAGTAAATTCACATTTTCTAATAAGCCACAAAAAGTTATGTATTTTAAAAGTCAATCAGCAGAAAATTACTTTGTCTGAAAACATTTTTATAAGCTTCTTGATAACATTCTCTTTCAAAACCATTTCTTCCTGCTTTCCCAA